GGCATTCCTCGGAGCAGCAAAGGACCTCCATTCCTGTAAGAGATGCCCGCAGCCCGGAGGCTCCAGAGGAAGGTCAGCAGCCCTCACGCAGCAGCACCCAGGGTCAGACACAGTCCTCTGAATGAGAACAAGCCCTCTCCTGGGCTGAGGTCTCAGAGGCATGGCCAGGCTGAGACAGAACCTTCCCACTCTGCAGGATGGAAGCAGGCGCTCCTGTGAGAGCCAGGTGGCCAAGGACTGCAGTGGGGGAGACAAGGATGGCGCCAGCCCTCCCCTTCTCTACCCACCCCCTAGCCCACCAGAGCAAGAAACCGACTGTCATGTAAAATGCACTGTTTTACACATGTCAAACACATGTCCCGTCACGTTGGCGGGACTCCTGTACTTACCTTCCTGTTGTTGTATTGTTTGTTACCATGTGACCGCTATTATTAAACAGACATCTTTGGCACAGGCTGGCGGGGTTGCTTGGTGAGAACTGAGCTAAGACTGTCCAACCTTAACTCTTCGGCCTGGAAAGGAAAAGGTCCTGGAGGGGCAATCGCTTCTCTAAGTCCAGGTGGAAGAGAGGAGAGATGGAGACCAGGCCAGCTGGGTGAGCCAAGAGTGAACTGGAGACTGGGGGGACCAGGGAGCAGGTCTCAACCACGTGGGGCCTCTCCCATTGCCCCTCCACCCCCTCCCCCTCCCCCTGCCTGCAATATCAGTCATGTGATAAAGTATGACAGGAGATTACAAAGGTGATATTCTACCAGGGCTCCCCAAGTGGCCAGAAAGAGATATTGCACCTCTGAATCCTCGCTTCCTCCGCCTAGATCCCTCAGTGTGGTTCCTTTCAAAATTCATTTTAAAAAAGGTGGGTAGATACTAGAGATAACATTGTGGGGGTAATAGGAGATGGAGGGAGGGGACAGGGAAAAAAAACAAATAATACGTTTAATTGACACAAAAATGAAAGGTTATCTGCTGATGATAATGTATATAGTAATGTCTTTGTCTTGACCGATATGCACTGTATTCATGCTGGAAAAAAAATGTACCCTGTAAAGATGTACAGTGATTAAATGTAAATAATAATAATTGTTTTAAAAGGTGGGCAGAGGAGGCAGCCAGACAATGGTGTAGCAGTGGGACACAGCACTCTAAGGCAATCCCATTGGGGAAAGTTCCTGGTTCAAGTCCAGAGTCCTCCTTGGAAACTTTAGATGTGTGTGCTCATGATCTGGCCTAGCTAAAGCTGGGGGTAGATCGTGGCATTGAGACCCTGCTGGAGGTACTGTTTCTTACCTCTCTGTCTCTCCCTCTTGCTTATGGAAGAAAGAAGAAAACCTTGATTGGATCCTGAATTGAACCAATTAGCAACAAAAAGGCATTTGGACCCAGGGGTCAATGGAGAAATGTGAATATGACCTTGGTATTGGACAATAATAAGGAATTTTTCACTTTACTGTACTTGACAGCAATTTTATAGTTAAGGAAAAAAAATAATCCTTAATATTTTAAGAGAGATTTTTGCTATTATAGGGCACATGAGCTTGCTGGAGAGACAGAGAGACAGAAAGCAAGAAATCACCCCCCTGGGAGATGGCCATGCCACAATCCCTTCTCCTCCATTCTCCTCTCGGGATCTTGGGCACGCACGCACATGCGCCTGGCGTGAGTTTAAGCCACTGGGTCTGGGACTCAAACTGTGGTCGACTACATAGGAGTCCAGCGACATAACCACTACACCATCTGTGGGTCCCAATAATCTTTCATTTTTAAAGATGCATATAAAACAATTCAGGGTAAAATAACACGAAGTTGTAATTTACTTCAAAAGATTTCAGGAGAGGTAAAAACAGTTGAAACTAATACGGTAAAACGTCCACAAGTATGCGATCTAGTGATACATTTTCACTTTTCTTTCTACCTTTCTATATATTTGGAGTTCTTCTCAGCAAATAGATTTTTTTTAAGAGGTTTTTGCTACAGGGCGCGTGCGCTCGCCATACAGACAGAGAGAGACAGAGAGACAGAAAGCGAGAAATCACCCCCCAGGGGGGATGGCCAATCCCTTCTCCTCCATTCTCCTCTCGGGATCTTGGGCACGCACGCACATGCGCCCGGCATGAGTTTTAAGCCACCGGGTCTGGGACGCAAACCGTGGTCGACTACGTGGGAGTCCAGCGACATAGCCATTAAGCTAACTGCTGGTCCCATCAGCAAATAGATTTTTAAAGCTACAGAGACAAGGGACCAACAGTTAACGTAATGGCTATGTCGCTGGACTCCTATGTAGTCGACCACAGTTTGAGTCCCAGACCCAGTGGCTTAAACTCACGCCAGGCGCATGTGCGTGCATGCCCAAGATCCTGAGAGGAGAATGGAGGGAGAGGGGATTGTGGTGTGGTCATCCCCCCTGGGGGGTGATTTCTCGCTTTCTATCTCTCTGTCCCTCTGTCTGTCTGGCGAGCGCACGCGCCCTATAGCGAAAAAAAACTCTCAAAAAAAAAGCTACAGAAACAAGATATAAAATAGCCTGAAGGGGGACCAGCAAGTGATGTGGTGGTTAAGGGGGCTCCCACATGGCTAACCATGGTTCTAATCCCAGACCTAGCAGCTTGCTTTCTCGCTTTCCCTCCCCTCTTCTCTCTCTCTCTCTGGTGAGTGCACATGTCCTATGGCAATACTTTTAAAAAATAATAATAATAAATAGAATTAAATTAAAAATTCTGCTTTTAGAGGTTTTTGCCTTAGGGCATGTGTACTCTACAGAGAGAGAGATTGAGAAAAAGAGACAGTGAGGGGAAAGTGAGAAATCACCCCCGGGCGGCCATGCTGCAATCCCTTCCCCTCCATTCTCCTCTTGGAATTTTGGGCATGCATGCACATGCGCCCGACATGAATTTCAAGCTACTAAGTCTGGAACTTGTACCGTGGTCGACCATGTAGGAGTCCAGAGACATAACTGCTAGGCGATCTGCTAGGCGATCTGCTAGGCGATCTGCTGGCCCCAATAAATAATTATTTTTAAGAATAAATAAAAATAAAAATAGCCTGAAAAAACTGCTAGAACTCCGAGGAGAAACTGATACCTACAGTACCATGTGGAAGACTCTAGCTCCTGTCTCCCAATTGTTGCTAGGTCAGGAAGATCGAATATTCATACAGCACAGACTAGGTAACACCATTAACATGCCTGATGAATAGACAAATGTAGAACCATGCACTCAGTACCTTCTAGAATGGAAAGGAAACAACCTCATCGAGCACTTTTGTCAAAGCTGACCACGTATTAGTTCATAAAGTCAGTTTCAGCCAAGTTTAAAAGTAGGACAGGCAGCAGACCGAGGCCCGTGCTCACACCGATTTCCACGCTTCCCTGCCTGCCCTCCCACCCAGCCAGCTCCAGGCTTTAGTCCCTTGCCTGGCTCCCTGCTTTGCCTGGCTCTGCTCTTCTCCATCTCCACAGTTGTAAAACGCTGGCTGCTGCCGTCCCTTCCTCTCCTAACACCACCCCTGGTCTCCACCTTCCCCGGGCCAGGCTCTGCCTTCGTCACACACACCTTGGTGAGAGCCACAGCAACCTCTGCTCCCAGGACCAGCTCGCTGTACCCAGAGAGCTCTGGCTTCCCTGGGGCTGCCTGGAAAGGCTGAGTAATGACCTAGGGAAATATTAGTCTATGCAGTGAATGCTAAATAATGGAAGACAGGAGACAGGAAGGAGCCAGCAGATAAACTGCTCATCCTTCTTCCCCAGAGTGGACCTATTTGGAGAGGCTGTGGTTCCCCAGGGACAGTGTTATGATTCAGCAACCAGCTATGTTGCTGAGGGGCCATGGTCAGCCTGGGAACGCACCAACTCCGCTAGCTTTCTGTCTGCCTCTCAGCACTTTCTCCTACCCACTTGCTTCCTTAGGACTGAACCCCAATAAAGTGTTCAAATGCAAGCACATTTTCTAAGAAACCTGAGCCAAGAGGGTCAAACCGATTAAGCTCCCTGATTGCGTTATTACTGAGGTCTATGGCTCTAGCAAACAATACTTGCTAAAATATAAGTGCGGGAAGTGGTGCTGCAGGACTCACAGGGGCCATGCTTAGTTGGTGTCCAAGGGCCTCCCTGTGCAAGCCAGGCACATGTGTGTACACATGATCCAGACCAGCTGGGACTCAGGGTAGGTCATGACATGGGGACTTTGTCGGGGGTAACTGACTCGCTCTCCCTTCTCTAATGGAGGAAGTAGATAAGTGAGTCTTTAAAAAAATCTAATATAAAATATATACATTCATATGTACTTTTATTTTTCCCCCGTAGGGCATGTGTGCTTGCCAAAGAGAGACAGTGAGAGGGAGAATGAGATATCACCCCCCTGGGGGATGGCCAGGCCACAATCCCTTCTCTTCCTGGGATTTTTGGCAGGCATGCACATGCACTTGGCATGATTTTCAAGCCTCTGGGTCTAGGGTTCAAACTGTGGTTGGCCATGTGGGAGTCCAGTGCCTTAACCACCATGCCACCTACTGGCCTCTCGTATACACTTTTAAAAACACTTTTAAGAGTCAGTAGGTGGTGTGGAGATCAAGGCAGCTGGATCCCACATAGTAGACTACATGGTTCAAGTCCTGCACCCAGCAGTTTGAGAGACATGCTGGGGGAATGCGTATGGGTGTCCAGAATCCTAAAAGGAGAATGGAGGAGAAGGGACTATGGCATGGCCATCACCCCCATGGAGTGGGGGGTGATTTCTCACTTTTCCTCTCTCTGTCTCTCTCCAGAAAGTGCACATGCTCTGTAGCAAACTAAAAACAAAAACAAAAAAAACACTTTTAAATAATGTGTATGTAGGTGAAAGGAGAAATTTACCTAAAACAGAATACTAACGGGGAAGACATAGAACTTGTATATTACATGCATATACAGACACACACGCACACACATGTTCACAGGTCTTAGGGTAACATTTAGCAGCTCACACAATGTGCTCACACTCCC